GACACAGACACAGACACACAGATATATATATATATATATATATATATATATGTATATATATATATATATATATTAATACATATACACACACACAAAGCCGCACATATCAACATATCAATATATATATATATATATATATGCTGATAGGTATATTCATTAACACTTCAAGTAGTGCCATACCTGGTGTGTAGAACTCAATGCCGATATTCTGCGCAAACTTGCGGTCCGTATCCGCGTGATCCTTCTTGGCGCCCTTTTGCCAGCCCTTCTCTCGGCCGGCCGCATCGCCGACATAGAAAGAAAGTTCGGTATCTATCTCCACTCCGTCATTATAATCTTTAGTATTTAACAACTCCCACATGCCAATGCGGGGTTTTCTGTACTCATCTTCTCCCAAGGTGGCAAATACCTGGTAGTGGAACGTATCGTTTCGGTGTTAGGGTTGGTTGATAGCTCCCAAGTGCTTGTGTAGATGTTCGCCCAGAGTGGCAAGGGTCTGGGTGTGTAGTTGACGGGTTGTAAGGACTCTTGTATAGCCGGCAGACACTGACAAGCAAACTTCCCTACGGCCATCCACATGCTCAGAGATAAGAGAACATGCGTCTAAGACTGGTCCACAGCTCACATACACCGATGGGAATGCGTTTATATAGTGATTTGGTAGCTTGAGATTCGTGCCTGACTCACACGTACGTGTGGGAATGTCTTTTAATAGTGATGCATAGTCTTGCTTATACAGAAAAAGAGTGGACCCACACGTACTTGTAGACATGTCTTTTAATAATGACGCATAGTCCTGCTTATACAGAGAAAGAATGTTAGGGTCCACATACAGCTCACATGCACTCGTAAAAATGGGTTCTTACGGGCTGGCGGGCCCCCATGTTATTAATGTGAGACGATGCCGTATTTACATTCCAGTATATAGCCAAGCGAATCGTATAGGGCATTTCACTCCAGTTAAAAGTTATTTATAGTAAGGCAAATCGTGTAGTACATGTAGGGCGCGACGCATACACAGCCATACACGACCACTAGAAACCTACCAACACTTCTATTGCTAATAGACTCAGAATTCATCGTATATTGGACACCCACACGACCACATAGGTCAACTAGCCTGCCGTACCTGTATAGGGAACCCGCATTCGAGTCCGTCTATAATCTTTGCCAGCTTGCGCTTGAGCGTGTCTAGTGGTAACTTGCCTGCCCGCACACCCCCCTGATTGGTGAAGATGACTATTTTGAATCCCTTGGCATGCCACTCCGCGAACTTATCACCCACCGAACACTTGGCAAAGTGCTTGAACATCCAGTCATGCTCATCCTGCGTAGGATATCGCAGAGTCAGTACGCGAGACGACGCAAAAGGTGTGACTCGATAAGACGAGCTGCTTCCCCTAGAAATAGCTATCTTAATCTAGTCTCCAACGAACTCTCCCATATCTCTTCCTAAATAGCTGCACGTCTCTGTTATCTTGATACTGATTCGTGGAGTAGTTCATGTTGTACGTTCCTAGTATGTCAATTGCACACATACGTGAGTGTTATGTACTTGTATGTATTTGCATGCATGTATATATTGTGTGTGTGTATGTATGTGTGTATTTATGTAGTATGTATGTATGTATGTATGTATGTGTGCGTGTGTGTGCGCGTGTATATATGTGTGTGTAGGGCGCGCCTACTGTGACCGTATGTACCCCGCAATATATTAGGCCAAGATATGCATCGCCCCACACATACTCATGCCTCCTCGGCACATCTTAGACCTCGTACGTCAACACAACTCTGCCAGTCACTATACCAGACAGGCCAGTCACTATATCAGACAGTGTAATCGGATAGATAAAAACACACACCTGCGCAAAGCGTTTCCCGCTTTCAACGTCAATCAAAGTCCCGTCAAGATCGAAGCTAGCAATCTTCTGCGCGCTATTGTGGCCTCCGAAGTTACCTACCAACACACTGCACGTGATCAAAAAGGAATGACAAACTAAGCGAAACCAACAGCAAATACACGAGCATCCCTCGCTCTACGCACCCGAACAAACGAGATATAGTCCATTGCATGTCGTATGCTGAGATGCAGAACATGCACAAATAGAGACACAACGCATATCCATTGAGTGTTCTCGGGGTCAGACAGTTCCGGAGACAACACGCTAGAACAAACGAGCATGTTTGCGGTGGACTACTGGGAGAGTGTGTGACCATGCTATGTTCTGGAGATAACACGCTAGATTAAACGAGCATGTTCGAGGTGGACTACACGGAGAGTGTGTGACCATGCGTGTACTGGTACGGGGGCACCCCAACTAAAGAGTTCTCTCACCCACTGAATATGTACCAGATTGATTAGACATCGGCGCAAGCCTTCAAACAGGGATTAATGGGCCCCGTATATACACGCACGCTGGCATATGTACTATACATTGCTGTATTGATGACACTTATTAACATATAGTTTGCGATAGCGGCACCTGCAGTTTGTACACACACACACATACACACTCACTCACACAAACGCACTCACACGGACGAACACACGTGTACACACACACGCATACGCACGCATACACACAATACACACACACACAAACACACACTCACACACACACACACACACACACACACACACACACACACACACATATATATATATATGTATATATGTACATATGTATGTAG